TAAACTCTCACAGAACGGATTTCTCAAGCAAATTAAGAAACTGGGAGAAAACGGCGAAAACAGTAGCCCTCGGCACAAGGGTGCCATCGGTGGGAGGAGCCCTCGGCTACTGCTCTATAGCCGAAGGCATCTCACTCGACAAGATATCCGCCTCACATGCGTACATATCGCCGTACCCTGCACAGACGTCCCATCCAACAGCCGCATTAAATGCGGCCACATGCGGCTGCCAGCACCAACCAGTTGTGGTGACCCCTCGGCCAATGAGCGCTCGACACGTGTCCCTGTCCGGCATTTATTGCTACTATAAATAGCACCCCATTTCCTCATTTGTAACCACGCTGAAAACGGCATTCATAGTGAATACACTCTCTCTCTACATTTACTTGCTTACTCTGACTTCTCTCTAAGTTATTCCCCGCAATAACCCATCGGATATATACCCCCGGGTAGACTATCCATCAGCTTGAATGCCCAAAAAACTCTTTAAAACTGCATATAACCTGTGGGAGTATTAGGGGGTGGGTACCACTGCACAATAGTTCCAAGATTTGAATGTTGGAGCGCTGTCATGAAACGGGGCAATTCAGAATATGACTTCTCCCAACCGCCAAATGTTTCTGCTATGGCCTTTTGCTTCCCCATCCACGTTCTCCGGTATGATATCGTATACCCATACTTTTCCTTCAACATCTCAATGATAGTATGCACTTTAAGGGAAGGATCAGTGCGAACAATGTCAATCACATCTTTACAGATGAAATCTGAAGTCAAAGCCATGTAATCGGTAGTGTCGGTGTTCCCAACACACGTAACAGAATGAGGTCCAGGATAACGCACAATTGTGAAGGTGTCAAGGTTGCCTTTGTTCTTTGTGGCGCGTATTCTCCAGGGGCAATTACATTCTTTCTTCCTTTTGCATTGTGCCACCCATTTGTGTTTATCGGACTCTATCACCCGAAAAAATTGGTTCCGTTTGATAGAATACAAGCTCACCATATTGATGACTTGTTCTTTGTTGTCAAACTGTTGACCGACCTCAAACTCACCTTCAGGGGTAAACCTTTTCTCACCTGATCCACTCAGCCACGCATCAGTAAAGCCTTCAGGGAGATCATACATTCTAGTAAAGTGGGTAGACGGGGCAATTGCCGTGACCGTATCACCATCATCTTTATCAGATTCTGTCATATCTTCACCATTGATGTTGTCGTCAGCATCATCATCACTTCCCTGCCCATCCACAAATGATGCACCGTTGTGCAAATACCTACCATCTTCCTGTATAACCATGTCCAGTACAGGAGCATTTGAGGAGTTCCCAACATTCACACCTGCATTGACATTTGGGGATTTGGTTTCGTTCGCAGTGTTCTGTTTTGTGACTGGCCGCTGATTTTACTTAATAGAAAGTCGCCCAACGGTTGGACGACTTATAAGTCGCCAAACCGTTTGGCGACTTATAAGTCACCCAACCGTTGGACGACTTACACCCGACCACGGTTAACCCAGCACTATATTGGTAAATACTTTTAACCCAAACCTATTTTTGTAATTAATTAATTAATTAACATTAATTCGAAAAACAACTCGGAATTAAAAATTCAAAACTAGCTTCACAATTTCCTCAAAAAAAGACTGGTAAAGCATGGTTAACTTGAATATTTCCTTTTTTGGAATATTCTTTTAAAATTATTATTATTTTATTTTCTCATGTTAATGCCAACATCCTTGATGAGACTAGAACCTGCCACTTTGTTTTTGAGAGATCAACAGTGATGTCATCATAGTATCACACTACAAGGTACTTGGCAACTTGAATATTTTTTGTTCCTCAAAAAGTGCCATCAACCTATGGCCATTGGCCTATCAAATTGTCTCCCAAAAATCTAAAAAAATCAACTAAACTGCTATTACCAGAAAAACCGTGTACATATCTTTTCATTACATAAGATGTTTTTTATTGGACTGAACTTTTTAGTTTGCTATGTTTTGTTCATATCTGATTTGATCTGGTCTAATCAAATAAACATTTGATATATGTATGTTTTACTATAGTTTAAATTGAATCTGTTATACTTGTAACTGATTTATTTATTTTGAGAATTTGACATTACATCCTGAATTTGATTTTAGATACCATATTTTGGATGATATTTGACTTTGCATCATATTTTTAAAATCATTAATGCATGCACCCCAGCAACCCAAAAATTGTGAAGAAGCGGGGTGCAAAGTCAAATGATTTTATAATAAATTGGGGTGCATAGTGATCAAAAAATAAATCGGGGTGCATGCATTAATCGTTTTGAAAATAAGGTGTAAAATCACCTTATTTTACAAATAACATCCAAAATATGGAGTGCAAAGTTAAAACAGGGCTTAGTTAGGAGAGGCACGGGCCTCAGGTCCAAAAATGTTGAAATTTTAGGGCCCCCAAAATTTTGTTATTTTTATACGAAGCGCGGCTGTGGTAGGGGTCTGCTTTCCGCTTTCGTTCTTGATGAAGTGCGGACGTGGTAGGGGTCCTTGGTCATGCTAGGAGGTTCAGTTCGTGGCTGGGGTTCGTGTCTTTCCCGCCGGTGATCTCGGCCGCGATCGATTGTAGGCGGAGCGTAGTTTGTTGTATTATTGGCGGCTTGAATTTTTTGAGGGCGAAGAAACACAAGACAACATGATAGATATTTCTTCTACATGTCGGACATGAATTTCAATGACAAACCTCAAGGAGAAACTTGACGAGAGCAAATTGGCGAGCGCAAGAATGATAGGATTCCAGGCGAATTATCCTGACGGATTGTTAGAAGAAATACTTTCTCGATGAAATTCATAAGAATAACCTTCATTTTTAGTGATTATATATTAATATTCCTTATTAAGAGTGTTTATAAAAATAATCCAAACTAATAGTGGTGTCTACAAGAATAAAGTAAGGTGAATTCGAACTAATACCCATTCAATACTCACAATCCCTAAATATTGTGGATTGACATTTCCAGTTCTTCTACTGTGATTTTATCTTGAAAAATTAATGTCTAAAAATGTTAACAAGCGTGTTTAATAATTAGCGGTTTGTTGCTAGTTGATGGACAATTAAATTAGCAGATCGATACTAACGAATTCCGTTAGTTGTTTAAACCATTCAATTTCATTAGCGTTTTGAGGTAAAATGTTTAATAACTTAGATGTTTGCGATTAGTTGTTAAGATGTAAAATGACTATTAAGATTATAAAGTTAAAAATATACTCCCTCCGTCCCTAAAAGGATTGTCAAGTTTGACCGGCACGTAAAATAATAAAGTAAAAACTGTGTGGTAGAGATTTGTGCAGAGGAGAGAGAAATAACATGAGCCACAAATTGATTGATTAAAAGGGAAAGTGCCAAAGGTTTTGGAACAACCAAAAAAGGAAAGTTTACAAAGCTATAAGGGACGAAGGGAGTATGAATTTAACTTAACTTTATTTCTTTTGTTTTTAACAAGTTTTGGGGAAAGTTTTAAAAATCATATATACTTTTATTTTATATAACTACTACTACTACTACTACTACTACTACTATTAATAACACATCTGCGTTTACATGAGCACACACACATTAATTCTTTAATGTTTAGGATTGAATTATTAATATTTTAAATTATTTTATATAACTACTATCACAATCATTTTTAACACATCTACGTTTACATGAGCACACACACATAAATTCTTTTATGTTTAGAATTAAATTATTAATATTTTGAATATGATTACTTTGTTAGTTATTTTAAAAATGCTACTCCATATAAAATAGAAAAAATAATCATACTGATAAAATAATAAACTTATTCATAGCAATTTTGTGGAGTAGAATTTCTTAAATACTTGTAAAATTGTTAGTTTTCACAATACTTAAATAACTAAATGTCAGAAATTCTAAAGTAACCAAGTAAAACTGCCTCTCATAAAAATTGACCAATTTATCACTGCAGTTTTTTTTTTTACCAATTATCTCCGAAAGTTTTTTTACCAATTTGGTAATTAATTTTTTTTAACAATTTGGTAATTTGATCATAATTAATCATGTAAGTAGAGTATACAAGTAACACAACTAAACTTTCATCACTTTGAACTACATTTAAATACGTATACTACTGTTTCTCAATTTGTAAGAGATCCCCTCTCTCTGCGCTCTGTTTCTCAATCCCTGTCTTTAACTCCAAACCAATTTCCTTAGTTATTTGATTCATTTCTTTACCTTCCAGACTCTTATCCAATTGATTGTAATTTACAAAGTATAATCATGTTTTATAATTCCATTTAATTTTTCATCCGTCATGGTGTTTTGCTATATTTTATGTCTTTTCTAATGTGATTCCAGGTCAGGGTGTGAAGCTTCAGCCCTCCATCGATGATCTTAGGAGGTAAATATGCTTATCTTTAAATCCTTATAAATTTTGTTTATCAAGGAAAGATTTGTCTCTCTTAAACATGTTTTAATTTTTAGCATCTTTAAGATAGTTCTTTTCCTTCGAAGTTAATTTTTTCTGTTTTTTTTTTGTGTAGTAGTAATACTCGTTCTTGTCACTTTTTTTTGGATCGTATCTAGAATTTAGTGATTTATATCGATTGTCCATTTCCCAAATTAATCCCAACTATCATGTAAAAAACCAGCAATGAAGAACATTCCTTATGATGAAGGTTGAACTTTTACGCAAAGAAATTAGGAAATTTCTTGATGTTTTGGTGTCTACTAAGAAGATATATAGAAAGTATTCTATTTTTATCCCACCGCTAAAATCCCATCTTCTAGCTCCATTTCGTTCTTTCTAATCACTCTAAAAGTTACCTTGAAAGTTGTATGGGAGTCAGCCATAAGTTTTTGGAATGTGAAAATGGCCTAATAGTGAAAACCCAAACACCAAATGTGAAAATGGCCTAATAGTCATAGGACTGAATCCGTTAAATATCTTCTTAGGATACATAAGCTGTTGCTCAGTGTTCTCGAATGTGTTTGGCAGGGGGGTGTTTCAGAGCATCATGTCAGAGGGAGCGAAAGAATTGGCCGATGAAGATGATAGAAACAAAGTTGAAATTGAAAGTGAAGGAAGGAGGAGTAACATTGTGGATGACAAAATGAAGGTTAAAAGTATCATTGGTGATGTAAATGATGCAGCAATACAAGGCCAAGGTGATCTACCGGTTCAACCACAAAGACTGCAAAGTCCGGGTGGAAACATCTACTGGGAAAAATTTCTCCACATCTCATCCATCAAGATTCTGCTGGTAGAGAGTGATGACTCCACCAGACAAATTGTTACTGGCAATTACTTCTTTCATTGACAACCTTCATTGTTTGAACTGTGGTGAAATTAAGATTGTCAGGTATTGTCCTTGTTAATTCTTATAAGAATGAAACAATCATCCAATAGGGATCAAGATGAGTCATAAATCGGATCCAGTATTCCAGTTCACTCAACTAGACTATTATGCAGATTGGTCAAACAACTATACCTCACAAGAAGATCGAATCTATTCAATTAGTTTGATTAACCCAAGATATTATAAACTTATATGTCTCGCTTTGTTATTCTATAATTTCTTGAGTTGAGATAATTTCCTCAAAATTTATGTACTCCATACCTATAAGAATTAGCTTCAAAATGAAGTACATGTAGGAAACTGGACTTGCATGAAATAAAAATCAACCATTAATCCTTTCTTTTCCTTGACTTACATTCTGAACGTGTGCATGCTCTTTTTACTTAATTAATAAATGTTGAGAGTCTCATATCGTAATATTTCAAACATTTTGTTCCACTATGTCCTTCCATTTTTCCGCTTTTAGCCCCACGACCAATCAACCAAAAAATGTACAGAATTCCCAGATAAATGGTAAGAGACTATAGTGACAGAAAGTCTTGGGACCAAAATTGGAAAAATGAAAGTTGGGATCAAAAGTAGGAATGACCTAATGCCATGGGATCAAAAGTGGAATAAGTTCTATTTAAAACACATATATCTGTTCATAAATTCTTGAAATAGGAATGACCCCATTTCGTTCCTATAGTGTGGTTTGTCTAATGCTCCTTTATGGTCTAGTTTAACACCCCCCAAGACATTAGACATTCATGAACTATATCAATATAATTGGCCAATGTTGTTGGTTGGATGCAGTGATTGTAGCAGCCAATGGATTGAAAGCATGGAAGGTTTTAGAAGAGCTAACCAACCATATTGATCTTGTGTTAGCTGAGTTAGAAATGCCATGTGTGTCAGGCATGGGTCTTCTTTGCAAAATCATGAGCCATAAAACACGCAAGAATCTTCCTGTCATTAGTGAGCATTGACTTCTTTTGGCAATTCCAAACCTCTGATATTGCAAAGGTTTTTACTGTTGTGTCAGTCATATGTAAAATTGAATCCATTAACCTCCACAGTTAATGCGGGTTATTTGCAGTGATGTCATCTCGTGATTCTATGGGTTTAGTAGTTAAGTGTTTGTCAAAAGGTGCTGTCGACTTTCTGGTCAAACCTGTTAGGAAGAATGAGCTCAAGAACCTATGGCAACATGTCTGGAGAAGATGTCAGAGTGTGAGTAGTTGCTATTTCTTCACTTCCTCATCATTAAACTTAAGAAAGCTCCCATATGATTAAACACTTTCTTTCTTTGGTCAGGATTAAGAGTTCTAAATACAAATATACAGAGACATACGGGTTTAGAGCTTGGTTTAGGCTAAATGGGTCGCTCTGATGGGCTAATAATACCTTGAGTTGAACTAAGTAATATATCAGATTCAATCTTTCAGTGTGATTTGGCTCAAGTGCGTTGTAAGTTATAACCTAGCTGAGTGGTCCTATCCCATTTATGAAATTTGTAACAAGAAAAAGAGAATGGTCAGTAAGAAGCCTCTTTTCAAAATTTTATTTTTCTCATTCATTGATGTTTGCATTTCTTAGTCTAGTGGGAGTGGGAGTGAAACTGGGACAAAACCCCAAGATTCTGTAGATTCAAAGAGTGTTGAGAAACAAGAAAACAAAAGTGGCGTCAATGGTGGCGATTCCAATGGAAGCGGCAGTTTGAATATTGGCAATGATGGTGATGTCCCCCAGGTTAAACAATTTCCTTTGTCCTTATCTTTACTGCAAGACACATAATTATGTTCGAAAATCAATTGAGAGGTTTTTTCTAACAGCCAACTTCAAACCATGAGCATTTTGAAGACAACCATGAAAATCACAACACCTGTGCTTCAGGAGGTAATCATCATCATGGACAGAATGAAAAGACAGAGAAAGGTGGAAGTGGTGATGCAAGTGGCAGTGGTTTCCGTGGACACAGAATGGATCCAAACAAACTTGCAAAAAGACAAGCTGCTTTGACCAGGTTTCTTCAGAAGAAGAAGAGAAGAAGATGGTTCATGGATAAGGTAGGGGGTCATGTGATGGACCAATGAACTGGATTTCAGGTCGAACCTTGTTCTAATCACTTCCAAACAGACATAGCAAACCAACCCTAGTAGTACTAGAGTAGCGTTTGTATCAGGCTGGCTTGATGGGCCATTTTTGGGCAGAAAATGAAGTTTATGGTCCATTTTTTATATTCATTGGTATGACCTATTAGTTTCAATCGTTAGAATTTAATTCTGTTCAAAAGTGGACCCTTCAACCTCACTTTATCACCTCTAACACTTATCTATTAATTTATCATTAAAATCATATTTAAGCTCATTGTTTTTTGTAGTTTAGCGATTGGAAATAATAGTTGCTACTAATCATCATCTGATTTCACCCCAGTGCCACAAAGGCTCTCACATGCGGTGGGGTAAAGGGGTCGGATGTACTAAAGCACCGAGAGACTGTTTCCGGATGACCCATAGTGAAGGTCGCGTTGAAAATTGCATGGACCGATTGCTGCTTCATAAAAAAGAAGCGCAACCAGTTTAGTCGGTCATTTTGCTTTATTCCATCATATTCTCAAGCCAAAAAATAGTGAGTATTTGGTTGCATTGCAAATGATGAAAAAAAAATTAGTTGCTACTAATGAATAAAAAAATTGAATCATAAACTTCATTTTACTCCAAAAATAGAGTTAGCCCACAGGATTCCCGTCACACCGGCCTGACATGAACGCTACTCAGTAGTACTAATAAGGATGAGTGAATGATCATGACTAACAAGAACCAGTGGTCGTGTTTTTTCCATTGATGCCTACGTTCCGGACTTCCAGTCAATCTCAGCGTTGTTCCATTCAGACAGTCCAGAATACTCTATTCCAATTAGTATTACATTCCTGCCATGTTGCATCTCTCATGTTAATCTGATAATGGCTAATTGTCAATGGTACATTAGCATCAAGTAAAGTTGATTATTTGTGGACCCAATATTGTGAATTTAAAAATGTTAAGTAGTCTTGTTACGTGCTAAAGTGTGTTTACTAATTGGGCAACCGCCTTCATTTGTTCCTGCTACGGAGTAGGGGTGTGCATGAGCCAGTACGGTTTAGGAACCTTAATAGGAACTGGTAAAACTGGTCTTGTTCCAGATCGATTGACTCACACTCACAGTTATGTATATAATTCCAGTTCAGTTTCAGCTCATTTTTCTAGCCTAATACTACGTATGAAAAAAGAACACAACGAGAAAACCCCCTTCGACTCCGAGAAAATCGGTCAAACGGGAGGCTACCCTTGACTCACCTCTCTATCTATAAAACCCCTTCAAGAAGAGAGCAGAAGCTCTGCCCCTCTGTCAACAAACTTGCTTGCTATCCCAGCGTGAAAGCTTTAAGAATCAATATTGTGAATTTAAAAATGGTTAATACTCTTGTTGCATGCTGAAGTGTGTTTACTCATTAGGTAGCCACCTTCATTCATGCTATGGAGTAGGCGGTGTGCATGAGCCAGTTCGGTTTAGGAACCTTAACAGGAACCGGTAACACTGGTCTTGTTCCAGATCAGTTGACTCACAGTTCTGTATATAATTTCACTTCAGTTTCTGCCCATTTTTCTAGCCTAATACTACATATAAAAAAGAAAACAGTACAACTGTCGGCTGGATGCCTGGATCAGTTACTGCTTGAAAGTCCATCAACTATCCACGCCTACTTTGGAGTATGGACATAAAATGTGCACCAAATGTTACTCTCATGTGTGTCCAGAACACATCGACTCATCGAGAAAACCCCCTCCGACTCTGAGAAAATCAGTCAGGCGGGAGGCTACTCTTGACTCACCTCTCTATCTATAAAAAAACCCTTCAAGAGGATTGCCTCTTTCAAGTTTCAACAAACTTGCTTGCTATCCCAGCATATCTATCCTTGGTTGTCGTGTCTAGCCCATATCCATTTTGGAGATATTATACTAACTCTCACTTTTAATAACCAGTTCTGGTTCAATGAGACTGGCTCTCACTTTTTATGACCAGTTTAAGGGAGGGTGATCGAGGGGGGAAACTGGTTGAGATAGATGACAAAATGCTCAGGTACCAGATATCTAATTCCAACGTCAAATCCAATAGGGTGACTAGAATAGTATTGATCACCTTGGGCCAGTTAAGTTGTACATCTATATGATATTATTGAAATTTGAAATTTTCATTCACAAAATGATATTTAACATGATGGGTTTACGGCCAAGTTGTTTCGGCATACCGTGCATTATAGGTCAAAAACATACAATATTTTTCTAATTTACATTTTGTAGTAGCAATCTACTGTACAAACAAAAAAGGGATAAGTTAGAGGGGATCCAAGAAGATGGATGCACTTGTCAATCCTCGGTAGTTTTTCCACCATCTTCATCATCATCTTGATTCAATCCAATAGTTTCAAATTGAGAACTGCTTATGTTATGTCCGTGAGCAGCAGCTGCAGAGGGTTTACTTCCAATTCGTGGCGATGAAAGATCACTGTCTTGCTTTCCCTGACATCATCAAATTTAATTTATCCACTGATAAGCAACCTCCTAACCAAAGCAAAATATTCCACCACCCTAACGAAAGCAAACTGCATAGCCTGACCAAAATTATCAACTTTTGTGTGAGGGTTTGTTTCAGTTTTTTATTTATTAAACAGATGTTGTTCAAGGCAGTAGAAGTTGGAAGAATAAACGTTAGTGTGTTTGGCAAACTTACTTAGTAATTCTGACAGCCTTAAACTAAATGAGAAACAACTCACCCCATGATTTAAAACCAAATCTGCTTTTCATTTTGTTTCAAATTATTTTGTTTCGGACTCAAATCAGGGTAGTAGGCCCGCTTGATTATCTGTCATGCATGGTTTTGATTCTGACTCTTAGGCATTGTTTGTTTTGTTTAAAAAAAAATCCCTATGTATTGTATTGTGCTTGCTGTGTGACCAAAACATCACAGGGGTTCATCTTGGGAGCAGCCTCTTGTCAAATTGACAAGGGAAGGCTTGCTCCCTATACACCCTTATGGTGGGACCTTTCATTGTACCCTCGCTTTGCAGGGATGCCAATTTGCACTGGGCTGCCCCCTTTTTATTGTCTTGTGCTTGACAATGGAAAACATTTTCCTTTCTCCATACCAGGAAGTGTTTTCCATGATTTGTCAAACTTCTGTGGAAAACAATTTTCTCTTCTGGAGGAGCTCTATCTTCTCTGTTTGTGCATTAAACATTGTATATACTACACAGTACAACTTATTTTTCAGGAAAACTTTTTTTTAAAGGCATCATTTTACAACGCAAGCATATGGAGCCTAAGAATCAGAATTTTAATTTATCCTTTTTCAATCACCCTCAGACCCTCTTTATATCAATAATATTGTACACTTACCCTGTTCCTATCTCGCCAACCAAGACCGAAGGACAGTAAACCAATCTTTCTTGTGGGTGCATTCCTTGGAGATTCAGCTCTCGACCTAAAATGCATGTGACCATCAACAGGCATCATCTCCTTATGAAGCTCACGTTACCAAGGTTAAAAGGAACGTTCAGAAAGAAATGCATTTCAGGTTAAGGATTGTCAATTTATCTCAAATTCTCAATAAAGTCAAGGCAAAAATCTCTTTGTCGAAAGGGCAGGAAACTTGGGATCAGGATCAGAGCAGTTACGGAATTAGATATTCTAGGAAGCAAAGATACACAGCAGAATAGCAGGGAAATAGAAGTACAAAATATGCATACATACTGTGGGGAAGCTAAAGCTTTGACTTGACCAGTTTCATATTGCACAGTTGCTTCCAGCATCGATTCTGCCATCACTGCTCTCTTCTCCATCTGAGCAAGTGATGTCATGGCTTTTTCATACTTCTCCTGCAATGAAATTGTTTGTGGGCCCAATGAAGATATGTGAAGGGAAACTGAGATTAATATGTGTGATGTTCAACAAAAAATAGTCATGTTTGACCAAGATTCAAGATTTAATTTTTACAAGGTAGAATTGCCATTAGATATGAATCCTACTCGGTTTTATGTTCATTAATCAAATTAGTCACTGTAACTTGTATGCCGACTCTTTATTGGAAAATTACCAAAAAATAGCTGTACTGGACAAAAAAGGTTCAGAACACAGCTCTACTTTTTTGGGGGTATCCAACAATTAAAACAGAAGGCCAAGGGACAAAGAGCATGGTACTTTTGAAGTTTCCAAAAAACAAACTGAAGGGATGACAAAAGCTTACTAGCACATATTTCAAATCAAAGGAAGGAACCTGAAGAACGTATGCTGCATATTTTTGAGCAGCTGCGTCTTGCTCTGCAGCAATCCTAGCCTCTTCAGTGATCTTTTGCTCTTGCTCAACCCGCATAAGAACCTAAAATGCAATCCATGCAATGGTATTTTTTTGTTGATGCACAAAACATATACTTGTAAAATAATTACAGGAGATGGAAGACACAGAAGTGGTTCTGACATACTATACCTGAACCATTGCGGTCTCTTGTTCTTTCTTATCTGCAAGTGTTTGGTGAAGTTCAGTCAACTGTTGTTCCAGCTGCTCAACCTGTGTGCAGGTTACCATCAAATAATCAAGAGTTAATCACCTAAATAGGACTAAAACAGGTCTAAAATCACAAATAGGACTACCATGTTTTAAATTCCCTAAATAGGACTAATCATGAGTGTTTGGACAAGTATACCCTTGTAGCTTTTAGGACTAAAATAAATATTTAATAAAATTAATAAAAAAAATTAGAAAAATTAAAAATACAGAGTAAATTAAAATAAAATAAAAAACAAAAAAAACGTAAAGATAAAAAATAATATACAGGCCTTTGCGGCCGCCTCTGCCACCCCCAGCACCACCAGCTCTGATCACCGTAAAAATGCCAACATGTATTAGGAATGCCATATTGATGGCAGTTTCAAAGAAAATTTTGGCATTATCAAGAGTAATAATGCGATTTGCTTGGCATTTTCAGAAAAATGTCATTTTTTCAC